AAAAACGACATAGTATAGTATGGCAAAAAAAGTGAAAAAATGACATAGTATAGTATGGCAAAAAAAGTGAAAAAATGACATAGTATAATAAGGTATAGAAACATAAAAACATTTAATAGTATAGTAAGGTACACAGATATCAGAGTATAATAAGGCCTTAAAAGTGAAAAAAACAACATAGTATAGTATGGCAAAAAAGTGAAAAAACAACATAGTATAATAAGGCATAGAAACATAAAAACATTTAATATTATAATAAGGTATACAGATATCAGAGTATAATAAGGCCTTAAAAGTGAAAAAAACTACATAGTATAGTATGGCAAAAAAAATGAAAAAACGACATAGTATAGTATGGCAAAAAAAGGCAAAAAATGACATAGTATAGATTGGCCAAAAAACTGAATTGTTATAGTACAGTAAGGTATAAAATTGTCAAACGTCATACTATTTAAGCTATACATAGGCCAAAAAAACGTCATAGTACAGTACGGCATAAAAATGTAAAAAATGTCAGTTTAATAAGATATAAAAATTCATAAAAATATCCTAGCACAATATGGCCAAGAATGTCATAAAAACTTCATAGTATAATAAGGCATAAAAGGTCATAGTATAGCATGACATAAAAATTCATAAAAATGTCATAGCACAAAAGTCATAAAGATGTTAGATAGAATAATAAGGCCAAAAATGTCATAAAAACATCATAGAAATGTAAGTCATAATATAGCAAGACATAAAAATTCATAAAAATGTATAGCACAATAAGGCCAAGAATGTCATCAAAAACATCATAGTATAGTAAGGCATAAAAAGTCATAAAAATGTCACAGTATAATAAAGCCAAGGATGTCACAAAAACGTCATAGTATAATAAGGCATAAAAGTCATAAAAACATCATCGTATAGTAAGGCATAAAAAGTCATAGTATAGCAAGACCTAAAAATTCATAAAAATGTCATCGCATAATAAGGCAAATAGTCATAAAAATGTCATAGTATAATAAGGCCAAGAATGTAATAAAAATGTCATAGTATAATAAGGCATAAAAAGTCATCAAAACGTCATACTATAGTGAGGCATAAAAATTCATAAAAATGTCATGGAATAATAAGGCCAAAAATGTCATAAAAACATAATGGTATAGCAAGTCATAAAAAGTCATAGTATAGCAAGACACTAAAATTCATAAAAACATCATAGTATAATAAGGCATAAAAAGTCATAAAAACTTCATAGTAAAGTAAGGTATATAACATCATCAAAATGTCATAGTATAGCAAGGCCTAAAACATCATAGTAAAATAAGGCCAAAAATATCATAAACACATTGTAGTATAGTAAGGCATAAAAAGGTAATCGTAGTAGTAAGGTATATGTAAAAAATGTCATAGACATAAAATGTTTCGAAAACGTCACATTATAGTAAGGCATAACTATAATACTACACTATGACATTTTGTACCATATTGTAGGATTCTTATTACTGATGCATCAATGTTTTTTTAGAATTTTATTATATAATTTATAAACAGCTTAATCTATAAAGATTTAGATTGAGATTTTATAAACAAAGTTTGGCATTTGGTGAGGTTGTCCTGATGTCTGAGTGGTTAGGGCCACCACTACCATAGTACCATATGGGCATAATGAGCCTTGAGCAGGAGGTCCCTGGTTTGACCTCTTGCTGAATGTCTCTCCCCCACTCCTCTATTTCCTGACCCCCCTCACTTTCCCTATCAAATAAAGACATGAAAACTGCCCAAAAGTACTGTTGTACTACTTCAGTACTGTTGGTAAATGTACATGGTAACTTTCCACCTCTCCAGCTAACACTACGATTTTCAAGTCAGATTAGTGGATATAATCTGGTGGAAAAAATTTCCGAGCTGACATTGTGTTCTAGTTTTTGTTGCGTGTCTGGTATGACAGTCATGTCCACTGAGTTTGTTCCTTTCCAACATCAAAGATGTTTTGCAATACAAGGTGAAGGCTTCCAGGTGTCTGTCAAAAAAACAGGTTTGTGCACCAGTGATTCTCTGTAATACCCCTGTATGCTTAAAGCAAGTGTTCAACCTGTGTGATGATCCACATACAAGTAAATGATTCATAATACAATTATAAATGAGTCTACAGCCATTCTTAGCTGCTCTGAAGCTGCATGTAGGCACAGTGGTGCTTTGAGCTAAATGCTAATGTTAGCATGTTAACATATGAATGCTTTTACCAAAAGTTTGTGGCTATCCATCCAAAAGTTGTTGATTTATTTCACTCAAAACCGCTAGAGCTGCAAGTCATTTAATCAACTCGTCAATTGACAGAAAATGAATCATTGACTATTTTGGTAACTGATTATTCATGTTATTTTTAAAGCAAAAATACCAAATATTTTGTAGTTCCAGCTCCTAAAATGTGAGGATTTGATGCTTTTCTTTGTTCTTTGTATATGAGAGTAAACTGAAAGTCTTTTGGGTTTTATGCCACCGGTTGAATAAAAATAGCAATAAGCATAATGATCAAACAATATGAAAACATCCAAATTTATAAAAATTTTCATCATTTTTCTGAGATGTCAAAAACCAATTAATCCAGAAAACAATGATTAGTTGCAGCATGAAAAGCCACAAAAGGCAACCTCATGGCCAAACCAAAGGTCATTAGGGTTCATCCTTTGGGAACCATGAAACAAAATGCTATTATTAGAGCTATGTTGCTAACATGTCTTAAAAATGGACTACACATCACATTTATTTCTTTAAAAAGAAGTGTTTTTATTTCCTTTTTAACAAAGCCCAATACAGATTTGAAGCAAAACTGGGGAACACTGGTAAATCTCAATCCAATCATCATGTCTGGGACACCCACAAAGAAGATGAGCTTTAAATAAAAAATAAAGGACACCTAAAATAATCATACAACCCAGAATTGGGGCAAAGAAAATAATGGTGCATGTTGTCCAAGAACTATAAAAAAAAAAAGAAAATATTTTAACAATAAGAAACAAAGTTCATGCCAGCAGCTGTTGGGGAGGTAAATAAAATGTCAGATATGACAGATCTAGTTTCCATAACATCTGTTCTTGGCTTTGAAAGAACCAATAAAACCTAGGATAAATGACGGTTAATATCAATGTGCTAAAAATTAATCTTTTATGAATAATTTGGTCAAATAAATCTAAAACATATGTTACACTTTGAACTTTAATCGTGTGTACAGTAGCTTGTTCCAGCTGTACAACAGTCCTGCCATGAAGGGGGGAAAAAATATGCAAGAAACTAAAAGAAATGTTTTCCAGGCTTAGATTTCTTCTGTAGTCGCATTTCACACAGCGTTTCTCTCTTAACAGATGACGTCACTTGTATCGTTTATTTTTCTGTTGGCTGCTGTGCACCTGTAAACCTTTTAACTACTAATAGAAATCGTGCCAAAGATGGAGAGAATTAAAGAGTCTAAATTTGATGTGTCAATGAAAACAAAAGCATAATCAAAATTACATTAGGTTTTTTTAACAACTAATTTGTTATGCAAAAATATTAACAGTTTAACGTGACGGCTGCGCTGACTGTGCGTATGTTTTTGGGGGACAAAATACCAGAAAAATTTTATGGAAGGTAGATCTATGACTGCAAAATAAGTATATATATATATATATATATATATTATTAACGGCAGACATTTTGTCACGCGAGTGACGCAGTTTGAAATTTTCCACATCAGTTAGACTTAATGAAGGTCACGTGACCAGTGGTAGTTCTGGTGGCCTGACACTCAAACACTAACAGTCATTTAAAATATTTTCTGATATTACCACCAGTCCACTGGGTTTACACATGTACCAATCACTTGATCATGGACTTGTAAAAGCTAGAATAAAGATGGGGTAAACTTATCATTCCACTGGCACATGTTGTCTTTGAATTATGAAATTACAGACTTGTCTGAAATGAGCTGATCCACCCATGTAAACAGTGATTTTCTGATACAGAAAAATACTAAGTGGACAATGTATATTGATCTTTTAATAACAATATCCATCAGTTGAAAACACCAGTCTACTTCCATATATTCTCATGTGGGAACACATATATATTTTATAACAAAATAAATCTATACTGTTTCATGGTTATGGTTGATAAGGGTCATACAATCCCATCATCCCATTCTCTGAGTGCTCAAACTTTCTTTGTCCATTTCAACAAAGAACTGCATGTAGGCTTAGCTCTGTAAGAAACTGTGACTGAAGCAGCTCAAATACTCAGAAGGCTCTGCCTGAGAGGAACATTAGTTTGAAGCAAAAAAAGACTAATAAAATACTCATCTTTTCCATCTTTATACCAGTTGTTAAAGTAAATCATAATAAAGTGTATGTTTCTATTATTATCTTTAAAAATCATAAGCAGTTTTTTACTGTATCTTGGCATTTTGACACAAAATATCCTCTTGGATATTTACACAGGAAAAGATACTTTTCAAGCAATAAAACAAGCTTATATTGTGGGTTGCAACAGAATAAAACAATTCTGAAGAAATAATGGAGAGAGAAATTGCATGGCAGATCAGAATATAACTAAACAGGAACTGATCCTTTTTGGTATGGTGCACTTTGATTCATGACTTTCCACAATTTCACAGATTTGCATGAAATATCAAGTCCATAGTTTCACCTGCCCACAGTCAAGATCAAGTTTACTTCTGTTGAAACGCTCAACAGAAGAAAGGTTTCCGACGTCTTGTCCTCTCTGCTCTTTCAATAAAAGTCCATGAGTCTTTTCCAAAAAGAAAAAAAAAAATTAAACTTTGTTTTAAAAGTGCCATTTTGCTACATTTATCAGCTGATCCATGGTTTGCTACTGAACAGTTAACACAAGCAAATGTGTTACACAGCCCCTGACGTCACACAGTTTCCTGATTCTATGAGTTTTGGTCACATGGACAATCACACACTCACAGCCACATACACACAAACACTTGTGCAGAAACAAAGACAGACAGAGACACAGAGACACACACACACACACACACACACAAATGATGTGAAAGGAAAAAAAAAAACAAAAGTGGAAAAACGAAGTTGTGGCCGGTGGGTACAGTTCCATTTGAAGAGTTTATCTGCTGCGATTAGACATTCCGGCTGGTAAAGCTTTGAAAAAGAACAAGCACCATTGGGAAAAGGCCTCAAATGTCCTCCGCTGGGGGAGAGGTCAGCAGTTTCCGCTTGATTCTGTGCTCCCACAAAAAGCAAAAAGAGAAATAAATCTACATTCAGGCTCGTGGTCAGGCAAAGTCATTGAAATGTTTCAGGCTTTATTGCGTCTTTTCCTCCGTTTTCAAGTCCGACTTGGGCACCAGAGCCTCGTTTAGTCACGGAGTCCAAGGACGTGTATCTCCAACTTCCCATGAGGCCTTTTCTTTTTGTGTCCATGTGGATACGTCTGGGTCCTCACCGTCTCTGCTGGGCATAAACTGGGTATGCTAGCGTCACATTCAGAGAGTCATTGTGCTGGACCAAAGACGTGTGCTGGTAGTGAAGTACGAGTTCTTTCAATGAGCTGTACAGGTTGTACGGCTCGGCGAAGCCATAACCTGAGGGGGTCTTGTTGATGACGCAGTGCTTCACCTCACCGTCCACACTGCAAAGAGAGGACAGCGGTCACAGTCTGTTCTGTATCAAAGTGTCAAACTAAACCTCAACCATTCATAAAAAATAAAAAAAAGAAATCACTGCCACTTTCAATGAATCAAATGTGAATTAAGCTGTTTGATCAAAGCGCTCAGACTGATACATACACAACGCTGCAGGCGTAGCATCCTGCTTTGCTGCTGTCTCGAACCAGGAATGTTCCGTCTCTCTTGCCCTGTAGGAGCGCCTCCGCCTGTAGTCGATTGATGTTGCCCAGTTTCCAGGACCGCTCATCATGATGAGGAAGGTCTTCGTCATCGTCCACCATAGAATATTGACTGGTGAAACAAAAGAGACGTATGCAAATGTTAAGTTGCGAGAGAGAAAAAAAAAAAAAAAAAAAAAGGCGTTTGCATTTCTTTGTGCCGGTTTGTTCAAATTTAAAAAATGACACTCACTCTTCTGTGTTCTCGTTCTTGATTCCGAGCCACTCGTTGAGTTTCTTCTGTCTCACTCCCTTCTGGGTCAGCCACCTAACCAGAGAAAAACACGTGGACATTAGAAACCAGGGCAGATCCATTTTGATTTCCTCCAGAGGGACACGTACTCTGTAAGTTTCGGAAGCAGCACAGGCTCTGTTTGCGTGCTATACTTACATCAGATACTGGTCTCTGGTCTTGCGGAGCTGGATGAGGTCAGGCTTGATGCTGTTCATCCTCTTGTCGATCTCCCTGTAGTCTGCCGCCTGTTTCTTCAGATCTTCCTCCAGTCGGCGCTTGCTGTCTACAATTTCGCTTATCCTCGATTTCAACTTCTCATAGTTCCCCATGATCCTGAGAACAAGCGTTTTGAACATGATTAAACTCATAATCTGCTAATTATGCTTCTTTTCAGGTGCCGTGGTTACGTGTGGTATATTCTTACCTCTGAATCTCCTTGTCGTTGCCTTCTCTCCTAAATTTCTCAATGTACTCCTTGCTGTACCGCTCTTGTGTTTGGCATTGCTCCTCAAAGATCTTTATAGTCTCATTAAAAGCTTCTATCGCCGTCCTTTTCATTTGGATTTCCTGGAAGAAAGAAGCACCGTGTTAGTGTATGATGTTGAAATATGGCAGTGAAATTGTTGATGGTGGTTTGACTGCGGGCGGCACTCACTTGCGACGTTCTGGTGTACTCTTCATACAGACGGTCATACTCCTTGTTCTTCTCCTGGTACTGCTGGTGGTACTCGCAGAGCTTCCTCCCCACAGCTTCGATGTTGTCTTCTTTCACCACCTGATCCTAAAAGAGATTCATAAATCAGCAAACGCAAAACGCTGCAGTTAAATTGCTTTAATATGAGTGTTTGAAATGTAGTAGTTTCATGTTTTGCTGAAGTCTTACCTGCTGGTGTTTGGAGACCGGGTACAGTAGCTTGACGTCTAGCTTGGGGTTGTACTGAGCCAGTGACTCATTGCGATAGTGGTTGATGAGCTCAACGACTGAGCTGAAGGTCAGTGGGTCTGAGAAGCCGTACTTCCCATCCCGATGGAATATCTTAATGAGCTTGTTGTTTCCTCCTTTCCTGTAGGCAAAACAAAAACACGGGGTTAAACTAACACTTCTAAATATGCACACACAAACACACACACAGTGTTAATAGGAAATGTCTTCGGACTGTCTTCAAACTGAAAGGAGGAAGAAGCTCACCTCAGAGTCAGGGTGTAGTCTCCATGCATTTTTGTCGAGGCATCTCGCACCAAAAAAGTACCGTCTGCGGTGTCCCTAAGTTTCTCGTTGACCTCCTCCCTTGAGATGTCTCCCCAGTACCATTCAGCGTCTTGCAGAGCCATGTTGTTGTTCATACCATTGTTAGTCACAGATGTGGGCTTGGGTGGCTTTGGAGGTAGAGCTGTGAGGACGAGAGGAGCAGGTAGACAACGTAAATAAATGCGCTGCACTGTATGTGTTCATATTTATATTACACCGGTCCACACTTTGAATTAAATGCTCGTAGCGATGCAGTTAATGAGACTCTTGGGGTGAAGTGGCAACATTTGGTTCTTTAACAGCTGAGACGCTGTGAATCTCACACTCTCACACACACACACACACACACACACTATGTGGCTCTGTCTCGCTCTCATCCTCTTTCCATTGATTTAATAGGGCTGAAAAAAATCCTGCCCCTCTCCAGCAGAGAGCCGGCGATGCTGAGGCAGGGGGGAGGAGAAATGAAGCGTGAGTCAGGCAGAATGAATTTCATTCAAGAAAAAAGGCTCTCTATAAATATTCCTATCTGCAAATACAGCTGTGTAGCCTTGCATTTTTGTGATGCCCATCATGAACACTGACACCAAAAGGATTAAAGATTTCCTTCATCGTAAAAGCAGGAAAACAAAGGTTAACCTACATATAGAGCAGATTTTATAATAAAGGCTGTGAACACAGGTAAAACTCAGCTGTGTATTGATTCCCCTACAAGGTTTGTTCAACAGTAATTACTCAGCTTTAATGTTGAATAACCACAATCACCTCTTCCTGTGGCAGCTTTAAGGCAGCGCTGAGAGTCAAGCTGCGTCCGTGGTCGCGTCCGAGAACATTTTAACTGCAGGTGTGGATCTATAGAGGATCTTAAATCTGCAGTGGCCGCTCACAAGCTGACAGCTCCACAGTGAAGAGAGCAGAAGCAGAACTATGGTAGCAGAGCTATTTTTAACCCACAAATCTGCACTGCCTTTGTTCACTCCCTCTGCATTAACCCCCTTTCTGCTGCAATAGCCCTTGTGCGGGATTTTGCTCATTGAGACTGCGAGCACCATTCACTCTCCAGGAGGCTACAACTGTGACATGGCATAAAAAATGCAGAGGGTTCACAAAAAGGCAGCCTGGCAATTCAACCGCAGCACAGCAGATGGTTTCCGCTGCACTTCTCAGCACATCTCCCCGTTACAAGAAATGTCTAATTCTTAAAACCAGTCGTGAACAATCCAGTCTTGTCAAACTTCAGCCTGCCGACGGCTCCACACACACAGCTGCTCCAATATATGACTGACTGCAAATATATCTCTAAATAGGCACGATAAACTGTTTTTTTTTCCATTTAAGCACCAAAAGCCATTAAGGGCAGCCTGCTCAGTAACGTGTTACATCACTTACCACAGCCAATCACATTGGGGGTCTGTCACCAACCACTCCTGCATCTTTCATTTCCTGAGAGCGATGAGGTCATTCTGAAAGCCTGTTACCCTTTTACCTCCCTTGCTTCAATTCTTGCAGCTAAACAGAAAACGGACGTAACTCTTTCTCTCTCTCTCTCTCTCTTCAGCATCCGACAGTGTGTTCTGATTTGCATCCACCTTAAGAGCAAATGTAGCATCTGTGTAGCATCTCTCCACTAGCAGCGGGGTAAAAAAGGACCTGCAGCCTGTTCCATGCTTTTCCTCTCTCTTCCTCTCTCTCTCCCTCTCTCTGTTGAGCTCGCTTGCTTGCTCTCCTGCAGGTTGCTCAGCCCCTCCTCCCTGCATGTCGTGCGGCGGTTTAGTCCGTCCCACTGCTGGCACTCAGACAAAGCCAGCTCTGCTGCAGCAGCACGTACGCAGCTAAATTATAATGCTTGGCCCGGTCAGTGGCATCCAGAGCTCTGAATTACGCCTGTAATCCCACAGCGTGACACTCAGCATGACAGAGATAGCTCCCCTGATTTCCTGAGTGAAATTAAAATAGACCTAGTTCTTGGTAAGGTAGAAGGATTCAAGTGGAACACGGCCGCTGTCCTTCTAGGTTTGACTGAAGAACGCGTCTTGAAACTCTGCGTGCTAAACTTAAGAAGTAACGAAAAACAGATCACACCAACTACAAATCAGTGTATTAGAAAAAAAAATGTTTTAATCTTCAAATCTGTGAGTTAAATGAACAAGTCGAAGATTTCTGCTGGGTTTGAAATACTCAGTCCTCTATTCCAGCCCCACACAACCTGTTGGGAATGTTTTAAGGCCTCCTCAAACAGTAGGTGCAAAAGGTGAAAGCCTCCACTGAACTCTGAAGATTCATCAGCTAGTCTAAGCAATGGAGAGTTACACACACAGTCTGTATGAATAGCTCATAACCATACGGCATGAGCAGGAGCCCTAGGCAAAACTGTTGTCTGATAGCTCTGACTGGAAACTTCAAGAAAACAAACACCTATTTATCTTGTTTTGTTCTTTTCTTCACTGGGGTACTTGTCTTATCCTACTCATGCAGCCCTTTTTGTTATAGCCTGAAGGCAGAAGCAGCAAAAATGCACTGTTCCACTTTTGCGTGATGATTTAAAAAATTAATTAATTAAAAAACAAAAAAAAAGAAAAGACGCAGGACATCAAACTTACGTTGCAAGTTGTGCATGTTTTGGTGAATCAACAGTCTCGTCTCTGTAGCTTCTTTTTTATTCCCAAAAAGTAAATTAAATCCAACAGAATTACTTTCAAGTCCTCCAGTAAAGCTCCATTTCATAGTTCAGGCCACAGAGAAACTGGATGTGGCTTGTTTTAATTCTTAGAAGGCTGCAGCTTTATGTGCTTCTTAATGAAATCCAGGTAATCCCCTCGGCGTGAGGCAGGTGCAACATGCGACTGACTAGCTGACTGACTGTTCAGTTCCTGCTGTGAGTGTGGTAAAGGGCCGAGTCTCCTCCTACTACTCCTCCTACTCCTCCTCCTCTCTCGCTCTCTCTCTCTCTCTCTTTCTGAGCTTTGAGAGGTAGAGGCCTGCTCGCATGGAGGCAGATAGTTAATGATTAGCAGTAGCTGCTCTGGTGTCAGTGCTGCCTGTTCTGAAAGCAGCCACTCGTGCCAGCTGTGTGTGTGTCTCTCTGTCTCTTTGGTCACTCCCTCTCTCTCTGTTTGTAAAGGAGGAGGCAGGGGGTGTTCAGTCTTATGATTAACTTGCAAAGTTTCAAATATTTGCTGAGCTGGGCAGTTTGAGGCAGGGAGGACATGTGGAGATCCAGGCGGAGGGAGGACCGAGGGGGGAGGAGAGTGTCCCTAGGAACGGGAGGCAGCGCTCGGTTAACAAGAAGTGCTCTGTGGAGCAGGTCGACTCTCCAGCCAACCAAATCTAAGTGGGCCTTTTGTCGCTTGCTTAAAATAGGCACGCAGTAACTGGGAGGAGGTACACGCAGACACCCGAATACACACACACACACACACACAGGTCATTCACAGAAACACATGTACAGAATGTACATGTGTGTTTACAAAGTAGGCTATTCTTCCTCTCTCTTCTTGTGACCATGTCATCTGTATGAGACACTAAAACCGGTTTGGCACACTTGAACTTAATCGTATGTTTGACAGGGTCATGTGTTTTTGTGTGTGTAAAAACCAATAAAAACATTAAGGTCTTTGCCCTCCTGCCCATCCACCCTTCCGTCCTTCATCCATCCGTCCGTCCGTCCGTCCCACTGCCAGAGTGCTCCCGCAGGTGCAAATTACTGACAGCTGAGAGTGGGCCTTGCACAGGAACATTATAAATAGCTCTAACAGGTAATAAAATGTTTAAACAGCCACAGCCAGTCCAGGGCCTCTGGCCCAGCCAACGACAGTGCTTTTAACTAGCACTGTAAAAACATAACTGTGCCACGCAACGCGCTGCACTCACACCATCAGACTCGCCTCAGCTGTGCAGACCACCACTGTAACAGCCATAAAAACTGACTTTGTGCAGTTCTGCATTTGACATATCACCAGCCAGAATGTCAAACAAGATTTTATCAATAGGTTTCATTTTCTGTTTTCACTCCTACGCGGTCAAATGGAAATTTCAACGGTTATTACATTTAAGATGCTTTGATGTTTTCAGCTAAATTCAAAAGCCATACTATCACAAAAACATAACACAAATTTGTACATAGAAGTACCATGTCATTAACTTGTAATGGAATATAGCCTTTTATTTCTGATAAAGTAATTTTTAAGCTTAAAAGCAGAAACTGACATCCTTAATTGAAACTGTTCCACTGTTCTGCAACAACAATTAACAGGAAATGTGTCTAACTTTCACCAGTACATGATAAAACATGCTTTAACTTAACAATGTCAGTAGTTTACCACCACAGTGTGCCATGTGGCCTTCTACAACCACAGTAGTTGCAAGTCTCAACACCTTTCTTCAAGCTATTAATAGTTCACGTCTCAGGGCATTCAGTTCATATTCTGCAGCAATTCAGTCCCTGCAGAACATGCGTCCATGTCCTGCAGCCAATAATAAATACAACCGAAATCCCTTAACAAAGATCAGCAGGCTTTTTTTTTTTTTTAAATAAATAATATTCTACCATTGTGTACCGTTATGAACACTAGAAATCATCAGGATTTTAAAACTTGCAAAAATGAAATTGTAACTACCTGGAGCAGCTTGACTTTCACTCCATTCACTGGTCACCAGAACCTCGACGATCTTGATGTGAGCATCGAGACTGGGTTCACAACTGTGGGAGTGAAAAAAAAAAAGGCAGGTTAAATAAAGTGTGTGTTTTATAGCCCAGGTGACAGTCTCTGCTGCTCTGTGCTGGTTTCAGTCTGGTGGTAATTCAGGCTTAGCTACTTTAATTGTGCAGCACAGCTGGTAAGTAGAAAAGCTCCAACTTACATCCGTGTATAGCTAAAACCCATGAGCGCCTGACACACTGCGCTTTGTGTGTGTGTGTGTGTGTGTGTGTGCGAGAGAGAGTGTGTGCTTTCCTAAATGTAAGTGTCTGCACGAGTGCATGCGTGAGTCTCTATGTCTCAGTATTACATGACCGAGCCTACGCACCTGTCTGTCTGCTATCTGAGTGTCTATCTTTGACAGAGCAGAGCGTGTAGCAGCGACACCCACCTGGTGACTTGTTGTCTGAAAAACACAGGGCTGAAGATCTCGCCCAGGGCTCGAGCAGAGAGCAGGTTCTTGGAGCTGTTTTGGCACACTCTTGCAAAATGCCTTAGCAGACAGTGGAGAGTTAGCCAGTATTGGGGAGGCAGGCTCGGGGTGCTGGCAATGCGACGTAGCAGCTGGGCACATTCCTCAGGATTCACCACCTCTGTTGAAACGGATGACAACGGCCAGAAAGGTCAGCGAGACAGATGTGAAAAACTGATCCTGCGTTAAAACCCTACCAAAGTCGAAAGGGAGCATTAAATGAAAGCAGTTTCTTTGAACAGTGAGGAGATGGAAAAAGATGTCATGTGCAGTTAGGTTTGAAAACCGCAGAGATTGTGTGGTTGACAATAAGCGTAAGGTACAATGCCAGGTGATTGGCTGCTCAAAGATGCTAGAGATACACTTTCAGGCTTGTTTTAGTTCCTATTAACCACAGATATCCTGTTTCTGGCCATGTGACGGCAAGAGAGTGCAGCCCTGCAGAACAGTGTGCTGTGAGAAATTTGACTGTGCTTGCAAAGAAGGCAGAAAGACAGACAGACAAGGGAAAGAGAAAGTAACAAAATACACTGATTATATATCATTTGTTACACTAAGGTAAAAAGTGCATAAAGAGAATCAAAATAAAAAGTTTTATATCAGGACCAAAGGGCACTGATGAGGTCTTGTGGTTTTCTGTTCAAAGTACTGAATGTTCAGTAGCAGGGCAGGGGCACATTACGTCAGCACTGTACACTAAAAGTGTGATAACTGAATCTGTGCTGACGTTATTTGTTCTCACCTTTAGCAGTGAGGACCATCTGAGCATATAATGCTGTGGGGACGACGGGCTGTGGAAGATCCTGCAGGTACCTGCGCAGACCATCACACAGGACTGGAAGTTCAAACTGATCCAGGTCTGCAGAGGGAGGATCTGAAATGCAAAGCAAAACACACACAGGCTTAAACTCATTCCTACAGAGTGAAATCTTTAATTACAGGTTCAGGATTAATGTGCAAAGCTGTATATGCACACACACATTTAGCTCTCTTCATCACCACTGCTTAAGTCAATTTATTTGTGTCTGTGACACTTCCTCTTTTCTGTTTTTGTCTACCATACTCAACTATTGGAAACTTGCAGGTTTCATATAGGCTGAAAAAAGGTGTGATCAAAAAGCCACTTACCACAGTCAAAATACTGTCTGACTTCAAGTCCAGCACCAGCAGTAAATGTTCGATATAAGGTGGGGTTATCCAGACCTGCAGTACAACATCAACATCAACATTTACTGACAAAATTAATACCTTTTAGTTCTGTGTAAGAGGTCACGGAAAGAACGTTAAATGTTGTTATAAAGAGACTGTCAGTTCTAGCATGATGCACACCGGGCAGTAGCATGTCATGATGAGTAACTTAATCGTTTCCTCGGTCACGCTCACCTTTCCTCTCAATAGCTTCCAGCAGCCGGGCCAGCATGGGAGGAGCGGTCTCTGGAAGGGAGAATTGCTCCGTCACGTCCAGCAGACAGAGGCCTGGAGGAGACAGCACACCGTCAAAGGAGGTTTTCAAAAGGAGTAAAACTGGCTCCCTGCTAATTCTTCATTGGATCAATGCTTTCTCTCCAACCCATCCCGTGTGACTGGGCTTAAAATCGAAATTAAACCATGGAAATACCACAAATCCGTTCCATCATCAGTGCCATGCAATTTATCTGCAGTGATAATAGGTTCACCAAACTGAAATAAATGAATAAGTGAGATGATGAGTAATGCATCAGATTATATATATAGTAACAGTTATTATATTAAGTTATTAGCTTTAGCCCTGCATCCATCAATCTTTAGATTGTTAAGATTGTTTATTCTTTAAAATGTTGAAAAATTGAGAAAAATACTCATCAGTTTCCTACACTCAAGGTGACGCCTTCAAATAACTTGAACAACCAACCCACGAAACCACAAGATACTCAGTATATTCTCACATAAGACAAAGAATACCACAAATATCAACAGCTATGAAGCTCGAACTATATAATGTTTGATATTTTTAGATGAAAATTTATTCTAAATGATTACTTATTGCCTTTCTTCCGATCGAGTATTTGTTTAAGCTATAATTAGCAGTTTACAATAAAGGGCTTTATTATTCTCACATTGTATTCCTTAGGTGAATGACTACGAATACTGATAAAGGAATAACTCTTATTCTTTATGAGAAATTCCATTCAGTGGCCCAGAAGAGATTTGAGCAATGGAAGAGGAAACACTTCTTTCCATAGCTCTGAATGATTTTTCGCAGACACAACATCAAAAAATGTTTAAATTTAACAGCTTTTCATACAAAGCTCTTTTGTTCTTGAATGCTGCGGAAGATATTTAGACAAAATGAAACAATATATTGTCTCAGTCTTCTGGCCGTTTTGGAAACACAGTGGCTCTAAGGGGATTTCACTTGGCCCATAACTCTTCCTGAGGTGAGTGGTGACAATGAATGGGTTTATTTTGTACAAAAATTTAGGGGATTTAAGTCACATCAGCAAATACAGGAACAGAAGAGACCCATACAGATATTATGACGATATAATGGTCTACTGATAAAATAAATCTAATCAGACTTTTTGATGAATGTGTATGTGAAATTAAATAGTGAGGCCTGCAATTCATCTTAACCAGCAACGACTGATTGGGCGCATGACTTATGAAGTACTTAGAACTTCAAAGGAAGCAGGTACAAGACCAAAGCTCTGCCTTCAAAGGTAAGTAAAAGGCAAAGTAAAAGGTGAGTATTTACAACAGACCGATTCAAAAAAGGAGGTGCTGAGCACTAAAGTTAGGGTTTGGTGGACCACGGAGCTAAGCAAATACCCTGTGATATGAGGTAAGCCAGGTCTGAGTTTTCTCCTCATTTTTCCTTTAGAACTTTGTACCCAGGTGTGGAAATGAAAGGATGAAGGGGTTGGCAGAGATTTTATTTGGATTTGCGAAGGCACATTTTCAAAGGGCACTTTCCTGAAAGGCTCAACTGTTCAACACCGAGTCTGCAGAGTCAAAATGCTGAGAAACTATGAATGGAACCCTTTCTCGTAACCATATTTTTCTTTCTTTCTACCTTAAAAATTATCACATTTTTTTTCAATTGCACATTAAAACGTCCAACTCCTGCTCCCGCTGATGCATGCGTGCTCCTCATTACCGAGGACCTCTCCCACCAAAGAATGTTCAATCAGGGAAATAATGAACCACTTCATCCAATTCCACATCCTCTTTGGCCGGCGCAGCACGCAGGCTGGCATGTTGCGTGTGAAGAAGCTGGATTACCAAAAGTCCTTCCAACCACAGAACACACCAAACTCCATGTAGGACAACTGGTCATCTGGAAGACATTATTGGAACTGCAAAGCGGGAGAGGGGGGGTTTTCTCAGAAGCAATGAACTCTGAGATGGAACACCAAAGTTTCCCTAAATAGAGATCGAGACACGCAGAGTTGCCATCGCACACCTTGGAAGTGTAACCTTTCTCCCAGACAAGATATCTAACACGGCCGCCATTCTATTGCCAACCTTTTTCTGAGAAACCCAATTCACAACCTGAGGCTAAATTTAAACCTCAAACCCATCCACCTGCCCGCTGTTCATATCCATGAAAATTACCCTATGGTAATATCCCACTGGTTTCATTAAAGATAACATTTCTTTAAAAAACTGTCTAAGATGTTTTAAAGACAGCGTTTTGTTAATCATGAACATTTTTAAACACATCAAATACACATAATACATAGGTTTTAAAGCATCTGCTTGCATTTCTCAAACAGCTTGGTGGTAATTCCTAAAACAAGAGTCTTTGAAGTGATCCAAACGTTTGTTTATTTACTCAATCCATGGCTGACCTATGAGTGAAACAGTACAGGCCGGAGATACAGTTGCTTCTTGGTACTGTCAACGATGCAATAGTTTCAGCGCCAATGGAATTGTATCAAGTAGCGCACAAAATATGGCAGAAATGTTTCAAGCTATCAGTGATGATTTCTGAGATGCCTTGGCACGAGATCAAACGATCAACATGCTCCTTCCATCTTACAACCATGGCAACGCATATAAACACACACAAATTACCAAACTTAGTAACATTTGTTATGTTTATATCATTAATGATAATAATGCTGGCAAAAACTAGATAGCTTTTACTACCTGGAACGAAAAGGTACAGCTGATTTTACCATATCTTTTACAATAGTTTGAGAAAGGCACAGGAGATGAATGTACTTTCTGCAAACCTCATTAGAGAACTCAGAGTTCACTCTGGAGGGCTGTAAACATTCAGAAACACCTGCATTAGTAGCAAAATTATAATCTCTCTCGTCAGTCTAATCAATGCCAGAAACAGACTAAATTGTCCTCTTTGATTTACTGCAGTGTTACTACGGTAAGAACACAATGTAATGCTGTTGTTTTGCTGTGTCTGGAACAGCTGAGGGGCTACACACGCGCACACACACACACACACACACACACACACACACACACACACACACACATCATGAGACTCAAATTTTCTATGGAAGCTGGTTTATGTGGCAATTTGGGAAAGGAAAGTAAGGAGACGGGGGGGGGGGGCTTGGACGAGTCTGTACAAGCCTGCATGTTTGGCAGACTCTTCTCATGATATCCCAAAAGGCCTCGGCCAGTCAGTAGTCAGTCAACCACACGTCGAGGAAGTCGATGCAGCTGCCACTGGTGCTGCTGTGGTGTGGGGGACAATCTCCCCGGCTCAAACGGTATGTCTGAACTGAAAGAACTGCAGACTGCGGGCAGGACAGGGCTGGGGCACCACCAACACACTAAAGATAGCACACACTTAGGTTAAATTTGGAGGGCCCACTCAAGTAACCAAGCATTTTCAGGTTATACCATTTCTTCTTGTCTGGAAGAGGTCTAGCTGAGGCACGCCAGTAAAAGTTGATAAGCCGTGGAAAGAACACAACACCACACCACACATGACAGCACATTATAGAGCAATGAGTAAAATGATAACACAGAAGGAGAAAAGTGGACAGTCAGTACAGTATCATTTAAGAAAAAGGCTGCAACTGATTCACTCAAAGTGAAACATTATTCAGACATTTAACAATAAAAAAATAACACAAAAGAGATAGAATTGTTGTTATATTTGCAGGGGAGGACCAACATGCTTTAACATGCTTGTATTTTAAGTCAATGAATGATAGAAATGGAAAGGCAATGTCTCCTCCTGCAGGGTGGAAGAAGCAATGCAGAAGCTAAGCAACAGCCAATGAGGAGACTGTTGCTACAGCTTGACAATTAACCCTATAGAGAGCAGGCCACAACTGAATCACAAAACCTGCACAAGTGACCAGTTTGTTTCAGGATTCAAGCCAAATTAAAAAACATAATTCAGGTTTTTTTTTTGTTGTTTTTTAAATAATATTGTGTTAAATTTGCAGAACACCACTCTCACAAATGATAAAACATATTTTAAGTAAAATGAACCTTTAGAGAGATAAGTGGCCAGAGCACAAGTATAATGTGTGAAATACTGCGTCAGCTTGGATACATGAGCACAAACTGAGAGACTTCTGTCGCATTCAGTCAGTGACCTTATTTTCCCAGCTTCTGCCACAATACAGACTCTGGTTGTTCTTTTGTGACTGTCAAGTATGAAATATCTCTTCCAGTGACTAGCTGGGTCAGATCGATACAAACAACGTAGGGAAGAGAGGGAGTCGAACCTTTACGTACCTAAAAGAACATGTCCTTTTTTTTTTTTTTTGCACAATATCATTCATACATCAGTGAGACGGGGCTATACAGGACATGAAACTGACGTGAAACAGACCTATCGTCATACTGGTAGTTATTTAACCACAACTGTTGTGTAACTGCAATGTGAGTTTTATACTGAAATGGTGTGCTGTAACTTCTGAGTGTCCCTCTGCCTGGCAAGTCCATGCAGATTAAGACTTACAAGAAGTGAATTATTTTTCTATTTTTAATAGAGCTGACTGGCATTGTGTCTGACACTAGATAAATGAGTTCTAGTTTGGATATAACTGACTCTGTTTAAGAGCCTATGATCTATCTTGTTCAAAGCATTATGTAATGCCCCACCTTCACAGCACAAGGGTTACACATACAGCACCTAGCTGCTCTAGCTGGTCCACCTCGTCTTCCTGCCTCTTAATACATCACATATTTGAAATACCTTTTCTGGCCCCTTTGACTTTGTGTTCCTTACTAATCTCACCTCTGTCTTATTGCACAGCTTCCCCGAGTCTCTCAGTCTGTCTCTCTCTGCCTTATTCTCTCCATTTCTTAATCCTGCTAGCAGACATGCTCCGACTCCAGTAAAGAAGATTTGCCAATTCAGACTTCAGTCTCTGCACACAATCAAGTAATGAAACAGTTGTGCACGCTTTCATGCACACAACTCCAGTCTTACTGGATTTATACACTAATGCAGTATGGTGGGAAAAAAAACTAGTTGCTGAGTCCTAAAATTAGCATAAAACTGCAGCATATTTTAAAACGGGCATAGAGGAGGACTGAGAGGCAAAGAAAAAAAATGAAGATCACAAGATGAGGATGTGTCGATATTTTTTTTCCACTATTTTACTACTACTATTTATTACTCATCATTGGAACTAACTTGGATTACAAGGTTTTGTGTTTTTAAGTTTTTTTTTAGGTTAGATGAAGAATTGAGGGTAGAGCTGAAACCATGTTAGCTATTTAACTGATAAGTCAATCAACAGAAAATTAATCTGCATTATAAGAGAAGCGTATGTCTGTGTTGACATATCAGCCCTGCTAACACAGAGAAAACCACAGAAAACCAAATAAAGCACCACCTCATTCTATAAGTTTAAAAACGTCTTGGGGAAACGTCACTTAATAAACACTCCTCTGTGACACAGTTCAATGGTGGAAACTATGACAAGCCAGAAATATATTTAAATCCAGCTCGGGTCTGACGTTAGCAGGCTGCAGATTTGACGCTGCTACTCTCCCCACCCCCCCACTAATGACGTCAACATTAAAAGCTAATATTTAGCAGCTAAAATAAACAAATGTGACAAAAATAGATTTTTAACACAGTAAAACTTTTACATCTAATAATAATAATTACCAATTCAAAAAGTCAAAGAAATCTAAACTAGTAAAATTAGCCTCATACCAGCAGCATGTACACTGATAACAATGACAGTGTAAAACAGCAATCGTTGGGGTCCTGTTCACTGTGCAACCATTTATTGTCCAGTTGCATTGTCCAAGTTACTGCAATCAGCACTTAGCACAATACTGATTCATCACAAAGCTACAAATCAGTCTACCATGCAGTCTGTGCGCACCCCTCCACCAAAGAAGCGCCAACACATTCCTGGCCCCAGCTGCCTTTAGTTCCACAGAGGAACGCTATATCAGAGCATATCATGTTATAAAACTTGTTGCCTTGTTCATTCTGACGCTGACTTGGATGGATTTAGCAACGTCTGACTGTCTTTTCTGAAAAGAAACCTAAATATACACCAACTTGAAACAAAAACCAAAGCTGTTACATGTCCAAATTTAAGAGAGGTGAATTCTTAGCAGAGAAAAATCAACAGTTCTGACAGAAAGAGTGTTCAATACAGCAGATGTCAGCCTGAGTGGTAAAGAGGCCCAGAGAAGGAGAGCTACATTATCTCAATCTCCAGCTATGCAGAGTGCTCTCCCTGCCACTGCCTCCTTTGTATGGCCTGCTCTCTTCCTTCTAGTTGCCTCTTTCTGTCCATCTTTCATACACATAAAGTCAACATATATAGTTAAATATGACCTACTTTACTTTAAGTCTATGGCACAAATGTGCAGTATAAATCCACACACAGTGGTAATGTAAAAGTCTGTTTGTTTACATAAAAGAATCTGCTTTGGAAATGTATTTAACAGAAAGCTACAAAAGATTTAAATTCAAATATATTTTTAAAGATCACCTTTAAAGATCACTGCAATTTTACTTTTTTTTTTTTTTTTAATAATCTATTGCAGTGTTAGCTACATGCAAACATACTGATAAGCCTCAGACAAGCGAGAGAAGATAGCCTGATGGCATCAAATATTTCCTCAAACAAGACTCAGCATGTAAGCTGAGCCCTGTGAGAGCATGCAGAGTAACAACCAGTTATTCACATTTTTATCTCTACCATTTAGAAGAATGTTCACTAAAACTGGCTGTTGGGAGATAAAGGGCAATTATACACCCAAAAAAAAACACTGAGAACTCAAAACAATTACCATTTAACCATTTAGAGCCACAGCCTTAGCAATACAAATATCCAACTATTGTTGAACTTCACCATAGTTACAAATGGCTAAAATTATGATAGGATACTCATCATTTTAGGAGGTAGCTTGCTTTTTTGCAGCATAATGATTCAGACAATTATTTTTTATATAAAACATTTACCTGGATTGATGGCATACATTAACATTGTTAAAAACATGCTAGAAATTCCTTTGAGAGGATGAAATACCTCTCAGAAACTATTATTTCTCATCTTTGAATTTAATTCCTTGTTACTTTGATAAAACAAAAGTATTGTGCATTTGTTTTGAATCAGTGAAAAATATGAAAAGGGTGAGATGGAGGAATTTCAAATCAGTTATGCATTTCTGTATGAAATCAAATATGCAAACAGAGTTATAATCTGAAGTTAGTCAGGTGTCGTTCTTTGAGTTTCAGTCTTTGAGTTCCCCTTTTTTGGCACGCTCAAACACATGTATATTCTCTCAACTGAGAGGCCCAGAAAAGGAGCAACACTTTAATGTTTTAAAAAAAAAAAAAAGGCTGAGAGCTGGAATGAGGCGGAATAGTTTCCCAGCCCGGCCCTCTTCTTTCTCTCTTACCCTCTCCACATCTGCTGCACTCATGTAAACCCCTGTGGCTCAGAGAGGAGAGGCCCCTTTCCAAGCCTCCATTCTCCACCTCTTTTCCCACTGCCAGAGCTGACTGTAGGAACTATCAAAACATAAAAAAAAAAAAAAAGAGGAGGAGGAGGAAGAAAAAAAAAAGCTGAGGAGTAGGAGGAAGGGAGCGAGATCCCTTGGTGGTGCGCAATAAATCACAAACACTCTGGGAGCAACAAGAGCCCTGCCTCCATCATAGAGCCCTCAGCCCCTCTTCAAAGCCCCCTTCAGCATGCAGAGCCCAAGTCCCTCCCAAGGTCCCCCCATCCCCATTCCTGCTTTAGCCCCTCTGCCAAACCCCCAGCTCCGCTCCAGTCCTGATCCTTTTGCACACCATCCCGTGCAAAAGACCCTTTAGCTAGCGCAGGGGCCGTCTCTCCCTTACCCACAACCTCAGGGCCCCTTCTCCCCCTCACCTCCCCTCCCCTCTCTCTAACTCCCTCACAGCCCAGGACACAGAGACTTTTCTTCTCCCGGTGCTACATTCACACTCGCTCCAGGCTCAGCGCTGCCACTCAACCACGACAGAGCCATTCAACACATGCCCCCTTCATACAGCTCGCTCACTCTGCAAACCGCAGCAAAGAATTTCACAATAGTACCACAAAGGGCAGAAACTAGAAACCTGGCTGACTACAGCTGCTCTTTAGGTGAGCAGAAAGTTTTAAGTGCACATTCATGCAAGCCACAGTGTTTGTGTAAAAAGATGCTGGTTTTAATTGCAGAGCAGAGTTTTGGTCTGAGAAGTAACGCTGTTTCAAACTGACAGGGGGTAAAGTTTATACGCAGCCATCATGGATTTCACGTCAGTGTTTTAATAAAGAAACCAAAGACCACACTCAGTAACTCAACTGTAAGTACACTTAGCCAATATTCTGATTATTGCTTATAGATGTCACATAAAATACTTAATACTTACTTATTAAGTTATCTAACTTACAGGAAAGGCAACTGTCTGACTTTTGGCTTGCTTTATTCAAAAAGACTGATTTAATCTCTGTGTCTGCTGCAGAGATCGATCAGATGTGTTTAGCCTAGCTTTGCATGAAAAGGGAGGAACGCTGCTCATCTAACTTTGTCAAAGATGCAAATAAATGGCTTCTAATAGAGCTACAGTTGTTTTGTTCACATGCTGAGGCAAATGAGGCATCATGGTTTTAGGAGCTGAAGTATCTCTTGACCAAGAGCCACTAGATGCAGCGACTGCCTGCGGCATCTCTTAATAGCAAGTCTGTCCGACAGGAAAACGTTGATAACTAGCTTGCTAGCTAACAAACTAAAAAGAAGTAAAACAAAACAGATTCAAAAGATGTAGGATGGCATATATATTCAGTTTTGATGGAATTAGCCTAGCTCTTTCCCCGGGCTTTCAGAGGAGTAATTTGCCTTAATCACCCATACATAGTGATCTAATCGTCTGTCTCAACAGTGATAAGGGAATTAAATTCCCTTAAGATGCAGCTTTGCGGAGAAACACAGATGATATCCACTGGTAACATATGGCTAGCACAAGATGCTCTAGTGTTCTATAGCCTGGATGCTCGCAGCGCCATTGTCCTCTGGGACTGAGCTTGGTTCACATTCGGGGCAGCAGGACAGAGATACTTGTTCTCAAAGAATGAAACTGTTGTGCAAAATTAGCATCACATCTTTCTCACACTTTATCTGTGAGCTGCTTGTTTATGTTTTCACCTAACAATTAATTAAAAAGAAAGATCGTGTACGAACGAACACACACACACACACACACACACACACACACACACACACACACACACACACACACACACCCACACACACACAAGATGAGAACCATGACAACTGAGCAAACTCCACCCACTGATGAAGGCCAGAGAAGTGACTAAAAACTGTACAAGCAACAGGCTTTTTGACATCTGGCTAGACAAACTGACAGGAAAATGTGATCATGGGCTATGAAAACTGATTTAGAAAATAACTAGTAGATTAATCACTAATGAGAAAAACTATTAGCTGCAGCCCTCCATATTTTACAGTTCTGTGGTCTGATGTTAAACTCACCTTGCTCTGAGTCAGAGTCTACCTCCGCCTTGAAGGAGCCCGGAGCTACAGGTAAGGGTCTGAGGGGCCTTGGCTTGGGTGTTGGGGGAGAGATCCATTTCTTTCCAATGTACTCGACATATGTCCCAGGGAAGTCCCCTTTTTCCTGAGTGGTTTCATTGAAGCCTGGCAGCCATCCAATCTCATCTGGCCTCTGCTCCAGCCCATCAGTGTACCCAAGAGCCACCAGGGCTCCTTTGCTTACCAACAGTATATCTCCCACATGCAGATCAATGTCCTCCTCCCTCTCCTTCTTGTAGTCATAAAGCGCTCTGTACTGATATCCTTCAGCACTCATATTGATCTCTTTGTGTCACGGCCTTCTCTCGTAGATGAGCTTCAACCAGCAAAGTTACTTTTCAGGTTTCTCTGATTCAGGATTATAAACTACAGTCTTTAACAGCTCTGTAGAGACAGTATCTAGCTCGTCTTCATTTTTTCACAGTTCCTGTCTTTTCTGAATGATTTGCAGCTCTCTTGGCGTGTTGCCTCACAGTATGTACCCATCAGTAAATGGCCTGCAGCTGTGATCTTGAGAATGCTATCCAGACCTGTAAGATGAGAATGGAGGCCATTTGCAACATATTGCATTAGACAATCATGTATCACACACAATGCTAAAATGTGAACAGACTTAAGTTTATGAGATTAGATCATTATAAAAATTAACATTGAATGATGGATCAGCTAAAAAGCCACTGTGGATTTTTACTGCATGGACAGATTTTACATTTGCAGTAAGGAAACTAAGCTGAAGCACAAGGTGAATTAATGCCGTGCACATTAACTCAGCTATGTACAGCATGCATACAGACTGATAACATTTTATTAGACTTTTATGTCTACTTTACACCAACTTGGTAACTCTTGCGTCATGCCAAGATTGTGGCAGATCATATTTGCTTTGATAAAGAGATGTTTACAATGCTTTTAGCTATTATATTGAGTCATTTAATTAATTATGATATTCAGTGTATGGTCCCATTACACTATTTCTGTTAGTGAAATGACTTGGCACAAAGTGAGTCTCACAAAAGTAAAGATATTGATACAGACCTTATAACTGAATTACATCTAGCAGTTTCTGGCTGAGTAAGTCGACTTCAGAGCTGTTCAGCAAACATATGGTTGCTAACATTAGCATTATCCGTGACAGCTTAAACTCACAGGGCTGTTTCTACTTGTTTAACTAAATAGCAGCCTCCTGGGTATGTTACCGATGGCAAAAAAATGTGATGGCAGTAGACTTGTGGATGTGGAAAACGTTTGCATGGTTGCAAGTTTATTTCTGCTTGAGTTTTTAGAGAGTCCAAAGCAGCAACGACACAGTGTCTGAAAAGATGTCGTGGGAGCAGAGTAGTAGGCTAACTTGCTAGCAGCTTGCTAACATTATCGACTGGGGTTAATTAGCTATCTGCTGGAAGTAATTACGATGCGAATTTACTAAAAGTTGGCACTAAAGTTAAACAGAAGTAATCGAAACAGGGCAAAAGACAACAGTGGTTATAAAGACAATTTTGAAAAAAATATTAGGAAGATAAATTAAAAAAAAAAAAACTACAATCTAATGCAAGAGTATAAAGTAAACCAAGTTAAACCGAACTAACTTTAGGGAAATGTACCTTTACAAACAAGCAGCTTTTGAAATTTTCTTTTTACCATTCAACAAAGTGGAGTAACGTTAACATCTGCGACCCTGGACAGTAGCTTACATACCGAGGGTTCACGGATCCACAGGCAAATCCAACGGCTCCTCTTCCTTCCACACTAAACGCTTCCACGTCGTTAAAAAAAAACTTCACAGTTGCCACGTACTATCAATAAAACGCAGCCCTAAGCAGATCCTTTATCAGCACGGCTAAGAAGAGAAGTCCTCCGCTTCGGTTTAAATCCGGTTTAACGAGTAGTACAAACTGTTACAAGCTACAGCCACTCGACATAACGGCACGATTTTCGCCGTCCCGAACAAACGCTCCCTTGAACGTCGCCTCTGCTGCCAACAAGGGACGAGACCAAGCTCGGCCGCGTATTGGTCCGTGACTCTGTCAATCATAAACATCACACAAGCGGACCAATCAGATCGTCGCTCTATGCAGACACTCCCCCTTCCATGTACTCTCGCACGCAACATGAAACACCTATGGAAATTACATAACTTGCTCCCGGTCCTAATGTTAACCAAAGTCGTTTTGATTTTTATTATCAGTGACTCTTTTTTATTTGACATGGATTATTTTCACAACTTTATAATATGAAATATTAAAGTTAGTGTAAAGATATCAGTTTACACTATGTGTGAAAAGCTAGACATTCACACTGGAGCATTTAAGAACAAAAACTACTTTGGAATGTTATAAATTTCTTTGTTTAATTCCACACTATTTTGAAAGATAAAATTGGCATATAACATCATATGTTCATAGAGATAATATCCAGAACAAAAGAGGTTTTGTGCTATTTCAAAAAACAGCCATAACACCACATAACCATGTTTATACAATCCATAGTTCTCCCTTTTTTTTCTTAAAAATCATTATGTTCTCAGTGTGGAAGGTCCCAAAAATTTACAGAGTCACCATCTGAGGCACATGATTGTAAATGTGGGTGGCCTAATTATCGTAGGGAAAGAGGGCTGGCTTGCAGAAATCCCCTATCAAGTATAAACCCTACTGTCCCGGCTGTGCTAAAAGAGGCTGTAAGCAGCTTTGTAGAAGGGTAGGCCCCTTTAAGTGCTCTGCAGTCACATAGGCACCACTGCCCATCACCACTGAGAAAAAGAGGAAGGAGTAAAGGAGACAGGAGAGTCGGTGGTGTTGAAATCAACAGTGACTAGGAAGTTCTGTTGTCGTGCATTGAGAAACTACAAACCATACTTTCTTTTAGTCACATCAGCAATTTTTGCAAAAATATATGCACCAGTGTTGCAATTTCCATTTACCATACGAATTGCATGTATTTCTTTCTGTTTGACAGGAGATATAGTTTTTCTCCCTTTCAAATGCCAGACCAAACTGTCCAGCAGATAGCCAATGAATATTAAAGACAGGATTATTATTTCTGCTGCAGATGATGGAAATGAATATTTTAACCACCAGACCATATAATCCCCCACTCTGCCAGCATCACACCTCACCCCCTGATTAAATAGTCAGACTCTTGTGACCCATCTGCTGCCCTGCAGATACCCAAACTGCTCCTCTAGGAGGATCTCTACCTGAACCCGCACAAAACATTAATTGCACTGGACCTCTCTAATAGACATTTAGGTGTAAAACAACAGTGCATCATACTTCCTATAGACCTAGTTTGGCTTGTTTGCAAAATGGAATATTACACAAGCAAGCCAAGTTGTGTCAATATATGGTGAGTTTACAAAAAGGTGGTTATCGGTCAACCAGCGAGCTATTCAGTAAGTGTTCATAAACCACAACAGTAGACACCCTTAACTTGAATTTGAAACTTCATGTTGCCATTTAATGGGCCATGACTATTTGTTATCATCATTAATTATCTCTTTACCTGTCCCCTATTTTCTATTATTTTGTATTTTGAGATTGTTTTCATATTCAATTGCTCTCTTCCTGTACCATATTCTGAATACTGGGTTACTGGACAAGGAATGTGTTTATGCTAAGAATATTTTGTGGCTACACTCCTCAGTACAAGTTGCGGCAGCTGGCCTGGCACTTCAGCTTTTGTACAGATTCAACCAACGAGATGCAACATGTTCATTTGTGAGCATCAGAAAGGCTGGCTGGCAGATTTTTTTGTTACCTTTGGACAGGGCCAGACTAGCGGTTTCCTCCTGCAACCAGTCTTCATGAGGAGCTAAGATAAGCTGAGTAGCTGCTGATGGGGAGTTTCATATTTAGCCTACAGATATGAGAGTGACGTTAATCTTCTTTTAACTTGAGGCAAGAAAGTGAAGAAGCAAATTTGCCAAAATGCTGAACTGGTGCTACACAAACTTCACACATGATCAACTTTGTTTCTTGTGTACTGCAGCCTTAAATATTTTCCAATGAAATTTCTTTTTAAAACACGATTCCTGAGCTATTTTCTCTGCTTACTTGAATAATTCACTACCTAAGCACTTTCAGTTGACATACATTTCATTGAAAAGTACTTGAGGTCTATCAGACTGTCAGACCTCCTCGGCTTTTATCATGGTAATTTTCAAAGTGTGAAGTGCTCTCAGACCACCTACTGTGCTACAGCGTTCCAAAACAATCTGAAATAGGTCAAAGACGACATAATTCAGAGAAATATAGCAAAATGTACTGTATGTCATTTCACCCAAGGTTACATGATATACTGCACATTCACAAACATGAGCGTCACAGAAATTTAATGTGCAGTGTTCTTTCACAAACATGAGCTCGCAGAAAGATTGTTTCGGCATCTCCACTTCTCAACATAACATTACAAGTTCTTTGAAGTATGAGGATTTGTAACATGAACAGAAAAATGCATAGTACAAAAAAACAAAAAAACAAAAAAAAACCAAAAAAAAAAAAACCAAACAAACAAACAAACAAACAAAAGATGTCTATTGTGTCATCTTGCAGAATCTGTCAAAATGGTTTAGTGTCGAATGGGCTCTCAGACACTGAATTAAAGCTGCAGGTACGTTGCAGAGGGTTCCTTTCATGTCGTAACAGTGGGACCTACTTTTTAAAGAATTCACTCTGCGTAGATTGGGCCCCTTAAACCATTAATCTATGCAGTGTTTTCAAGGTTTTAATAATGGCTAACTTTAGTGTATAGAGCTCTCAGGCTCCAAGCTTTCTCTCCGCCCACCCCCTTCTCATTTCCCCTCTCTCTCTCTCTCTCTCTATTCACCGATTCTTTTACTTTTGTGAGCAAGCTGAGAATTCTCACATGGGTAACCCCGTAATGCTCACTAACATGAGATAAGATGAACTTGTGAAATGCATCACCCACCAACGCCTATTTAAACAAAACTGAAAAAAAAAAAAAAGGGAAAAAAGATACTTCCTCCTTATGTTTTGGTTCCCTATTGGCACAGTAATATTCTCTGTCAGACTTTAAACTCAGTCACCCTCTGCTATTTGCATGTTCTGTACTTTATTCTTATTTATTCTATTATAGTGAAGTACCCATTATCCAAGAGTCTTAACTTAAAAACAGCTTTAAACATCTCTAATAGTAATTATCTATTTTTATTCAAACATTTTTTTATCAATATGTATTACATATGTGCACTAGACTCTCTATTTGGACAGTTATGAGAGCTGTTCACGTTATCTAAATTATTACATGCATAATTTAATCAGCTTGACGGACAGTGTTGAGATGTGTTAGCTTCAGTATCACAGCTGTGCAGCACTTACATTATTGTTTATTCTTTGCATTTCAAAAAATATGCAACAGTACTACTTAATGACTCTAACTTAATAATGCTTCTTTCATGGCCCTCTGAGGTTTCTGCACATCCTGACAGACAAATCCACATTGTCTGGAATTAACCGTCATTCTCTCGTCTTGATGATTTTATGCCTCTAATTCCACATCCTGCGATTCAAAGAAACCCCTGCAAATTCCATTTTCACAGGGCACAGACTCGGCCTGTGTGCTTGTCAGTAATAACATTCCTCTGGTATGAAGGAACACTTCTCTCTACTCAACCATCAACTCATCAGATGCGGCAGACAATGACCTTCTTCACTGGTCCAGCCCATAAATCATTCATTTTCACTACAAGCCACAGCTCAAGTGTTTTCTCGTTGAAGAATTCCTTTTTTGCTTTAGAGAACATACATAGTACATATATACAGAGGAGTAGTTGGGTTTTTATGACAACAGGAGCTGCATCTGTGAATCTGCATTACATGTTAGCATGTCAGGTTCTCACAATGTGAAATTCACCAACTATAATGTATGCAGAAAGAATGTAAGTATATTGCATGTCTTTATAGTCAATTTAGACCAAATTTATGTATTTCCACATCTTAAAATTGAATCCTGCAGGAACTGGGCCCCTTGGAGGCAGCGGGAACAACTGTTAAACACAAAACTGACATAATATCCACTTGATATGGTGAATGTGTTAGCAAACAGTTGCCTAGATACACACCCAGCAGACATAGAGCAACATTTGGAGTCACGTTTGATGACTGTAAGTCCAATTTTCTGGAAACTGAAAAAGCTTTTTGATGCAAAAAAAAACTAAACAAAAGAAAAAAAAAATAATGAGCTGAAAGACACTAAAATACTCTGAAGAGCTGAGGGGAACTGCAAAGTTGGGGTGGAGTAATTATCTGTTGGTTCGTCACTGCTGCTGTTTTCAGCTTAAGTTATTCTCTGGCGTTGTGGTTGATACTGCCCACTCCATCAATGCAACATGCTCTTCACATATGTTCCAGCAAAACCACAGCGATAAGAATTACTTAAAGTATATTTGCATCTAATTAGGTATCTGCATTTGTACTCCTATTGATTAATGTAAATTATTTTAAAAGTACATTTAATTATCAAGTGAACACAGGATATCAATACAGAGGTGAGTATGAATGATTTTCATAAAAAAAAAAAACAATAACATTTATGCTCATATTTGATAACTGTAACTGTATCTTGTACCCTTGAAGCATCAGGCTGCTGGTGTGTTTCTGCATGTGTGTAGATATGAGCAGGTTTGTGTATGGCTGTGTGTGCAATGTCTCCCTGGTAAATTATTTACATGCTGTGAAAGGCTTTAACTAATGGAGCACTTGGGGTGAACGACGTGTGATTATTGCACTTAAGAAAAGTAAATGTAAAAGTGTTAATGATTTTTAAGGACACACTGCAGCAATGTGTTGTAGTGTAGAACATTTATGATTCATTCATTAGTTTTCTTGCATTTTACAGAATTGTAATAATGAATATAACGTTGATGAGATTGGAATCAAACTTCTCATCTCATGATCATAAAGAAAAAGAAAAAAAACATCCCACA